GGGGGGGGGGGGGGGGCACCTGCAGTGCCAGAGGGGGAGGGAGCACCCCTGGGGGCTCCGTGTTTGAGGCTGCTGGTGCTTCTTCTATGACGGCCACGACTGAGCCGAAGAAGTTTCCAACGCCGGGGTGGTGCTTCTACCGCAGCGGCTAGGGCGGACGACTCGTCTCTTTGTTGCCTTCGATGCGCCGCTTGTATCCTACATGTTGGGGACGGTTGCCGGGGGAGCAGAACGGACGGTGTTGAGATGGTCTTCCTGCCGATATTTTCTCCCCGAAAACTCATCAACGGCACTCGTGATGACAAACCGTATCATACGAAACCTGCCTTCAAACTTGGCACTTGTCACGTCTTCAGGTGAGAGTCGCCAGAGCAAGGCATCGCATCCACCACAACAAGCCAACATTTGCAGCCCACAAAAACAAGAGCGACGTGTCGAGAAAAACATATCTCCGCAAAAGAAAGGGGGGGGAGGGGAGATGGCCTCAACCATGGTATTACGTTTTACGTATGGAGCGCATCGTTCTTTCCGACACGGTTGAAACTACGACGTGCTCTTACAAGCGTTCCCCACGATGGGGGTGACCAAAGCGGTGCAAGGCATTGTGAGCGTAGATTGGAAATTATACCATCATCCATCAACCACGAGGTCAGCCAAGACAGACTACCACAGGGCCAACTGCACACAAATAGCCGAGCGTCGGTGGTGCGAAGCGTAAGGCCAGTGCCATTTCATTCAACCCGCAAATGCACACACACGGTCCACAAAATCCCAACGGTATGTGCATGGCCACAAAGAGCGAATTCCAAACAAGACGTCCGCCAAACAAACGTCAGCCCCATCCTCTAAACGGCTGTACGGGGATCGTCGACACCTCATCCCCGCCCAAAAAAAAACTTTTGCCGAGTCCCCTTACCGAAGCGACTGCTCGTGAAACGCAAAAGAAAAAGGCCGCGGCCCGGCCAGGACGCTGGTCCGCAAGAACTCCAGCAGCTCATCCACGCCCCCTATGGCAACTCCCGTGTCGGCAACAGCAGGCGGCGACTCTTCCGTCGCCGACAGATGCGCTCCGGCGGCTGGACTCTGAGCCTGTGTCTTGTCGTCTGCTTCGGCAAGGTCGATGCTGCACAGCACTGCTGATCGCGGAGCCGTCCTTCCCGCCGCCCCCCCTGGGGGGGATTGCTTCCGTCTTCCTGCGGAACTCCAGAACCAGCGTGGGATCCATGGCCTCCGTCGCCGAGGGGGGTCTCCCCGTTGTTCTTGGTCATGGGAGGAGCCACCGTCCTCTACCGGTACCTGGAGAAGGGAAGGCCGCGGGACACGGCACGCTTTGTCACCACCCTTTGGGAGCGCGAGGTTTCATGCGCTGCAGACATGCCATTCGGGCAACTAGGTTTCGGACAAAAGATAGATTGCATCTACCAGTTGAGGAAAGGGAAACAGCAGTCTCTACCGCCACACTGGCACCTCGTGAAAACTCAAAATCAAGGAGAGTCTAGGAGAAGAAACACTGCTATATTCATGGTTAAATGCACATATGCCTCCACGTGCTTTCCCGACGGTTTGGATGGAAACATCTGATTTTTGAAGGAGGCATCTGGTATCATGATGTGAACGTGCCCTTATCATAGTCAGACCAGGTGGCTGGTGTGCAAAGAGGGACCCATTGGTGCCAGAGGTAGTTTCGCCCACAAGAAAAACAGGAAAAAACAAACGAAACACAGCGCGGTATACGGGCAGCACATTCTTCCCCTACGAATATCGCTCAACTTCCATGTTCTTTTCGTCCAAGTGCCACGACTTCAAGTTCAGCCCTGGACCAGCGGGCGAATCCCAAGGACAGCAGTTGGGTCTATGTGCCTTGAGCTTCCTCACCGGTTGCAAAAGATACCGGTCCTTCCCGTAGAGGTCTTCGAGACCCCTGACCACCCCACACGCCCGCGCGAACTCGGGATCGTCCGGCCTCCCTTCCACCCGGAAAACCAACGCCCCCCCCCGCCATGCTCCCGCCGGCCCTGTCGCAGTAGCACCCGCCAGCAGCAGCCATCGCGTGCTTGCAGCGGCTGCGAAGACCGCCGTCGTTGCTATTGCTCGGAGAAAAGTGACCCGGGCAGCGGCCTGCCGTGGTCGGCGATTGGGCCTTGGCCTTGGCGGTTGTGGCGGCATTGGTGGGACGAGTCCCGCTGCTGGCGGAGGGTAATACACGGCGGCAGGCGAGCTTGGGACAGATGATTGCGTTGCGCAAATATGCATGTGCCATACGCATCCGCAACCGGCATGAATGCATCTTAGCAGCGACGCGAGAGGCTAAGAGGAACAACGGATCGACACCGGTCCGGTACACTCCACGTGGACCTCGCACAGGACCCCGCCAGTCGCGTAAGGACTAGAACGCTACTGGTACGTGCCTGGATTTGGCAAGCAGTTCAGCGGACTCTGTTTAAACTACTCTATGTTGGACGCTACAGCTAGTAGCAGACGGTGTGATACGGATATGTAGTCCTGACACTCTCGTGCTGTGCACCGCACATGTTCCTTGCTCGGGTGCAACAAGCGTCGGGGATGAGACTGGACACCCGGAAACGACGAGACCTCTGCGTTATTCGTACACCCTTTCAACCACTTCCCTCTTCGAAGAAAAGAAACAATGGCAAGCCCTTGGCCGCTGTTCGTCGGCAGCTGGTGCATGGTGCACGGCACGCGCGCAAACATCCTGCTGCGCGGCAAGTATGCTGCCCCCACGCCATGTACAACTGTAGTATGCAATTTCATGTTAGAAAGGAGTGGATTTGAATTTCATCCTGCATCAAGGCATAGTGTAGCAGATGGACAGCCCCATGAATGCAACCTCACCAGTCAATGCCACTTTTGATCCCTCCCCGCGCGCCCTCACGTGCCGTGAGAGGGGAAAGGTGAGAGGTGAGGTGAGAGGCAAAGGGGGGGGACACAAGGCCTACCGCCCTGGGTTTACAATTAACAGTTTACTTTTGGTTCAGCGCCAAACCGGGTTCAGTTCACCGAGGAACCTCTCCATCTCTCCAAACCGGCCCTTGCTCCGCGCTGCTCCGCGCTGCTCCGCGCTTGTTTACGAGGTGGCCGAGAGGCGAGCAGCATCACAGCGCCACAGCGGGAGAGAGGAGAGCGAAGCCGAAACACAGCGCGTGCCCCACTCTTGCAGCCCATGTCATTGCGTCGATAGTATGATCGCCACCCTCGCCTTGGTTGCCTGGAACCTGCTTTCGGGCGCGCCAGCGGCGGCTCTTGTTCCGCCGCCCTACATGATGTACCACCCCCGTTGTGTAGTGCAAGGGGGCAGGTTGAAAACCACGGCTTTACGACGACCTACCAGCCGCCAAAGAACGAGCACAACTGTTGCCATGACCAAAGTCAGGGGCATGGCAACAGACGATATGACTGGGGCTACCGACGGGGCATGCAAGGCAATATTTCTTGAGCATTACGGCAAGTGGGTTAGCTGCGACAAGACGCTGGGCATCACCGAGCAGCAACAAAACCTCACCAAGCTGCAACTCGAGGGGCTAACTGTGCCACAGCTGAGGCACGAAGCCCGCCGGCGAGGGCAGACTGCCACAGGGTCGAAGAAGGATTTGATACAGCGTTTGCTCTCCCAAGAAGCACCCGGTGAGTCAGAACACCGCTATATCATTGGCAGAGTGCCCTTTCCAGCTACAATCCTAGCCTACATCATCGGTAGAGTGCCCTTTCCAGCTACACACCCAGCCCAAGGCTGAGACATACACCAATTATATCGCGACTCCATTCACCGTGGTGCCATGTGCAATCGAGCACATGCAGCGTGCGGGATTGATGTTATCATAACAGCAGCTTGTTGTAGCCTGTTCCGACTGATCCTTAGTCAACCTCGTCATCGTAGCCACTCTGTTGCGAACCGCCGTCCTGTTCAACCAATCAAAATGCAGAGGCAAAGGTTGTAGAGCAATGGCTTATTACGAGGCAGTTGTTGTTTAGGTTCAGTATCCCCTGCCAATGGCCAGCGGGCAACACACGTATCCTTCCCTGCCGTGGGCATGCCCCCATTATTCGCAAACGATGGTGTCCTACCCGGGACGACGTGTTGATGTTGGCCATCGTTGTCCCCGTCTGGTGCGCGCTCTGTTCACCACTTATCGCAAACACCCGTATATTAATGTGGAGACCGTTAAACAGCAGCTTGTAAGGCGAAAAATCGTGATACCGTCCGTCTGTCTATTATATTTGGCAGTGCCGAAAAGACCAAGGAGGAGGAATCATGGTAAGCCGGTGGACACCCCGGAAGGCTATGTGGAGAGGCAGACCACAACAAGACCGCGCCCACTGCACCCCTACACGCCTCAGCTTCGCGTCCTCTCCTGGAACGTGAACGGAATCAGAGCTCAGATGGAGAAGGAAGAGGGGAGAAAGGCATGTCGAGGACATGTGACGGTGACAAGGGAGGCAGCGTTGGAAGTTGGCGCCTGAGTTTTCCGACGCAAGTACCGTGCTGCCTGCGATGTTACTCGTGGAAGAAACAGAGTCGACCACCGTTCCGGGTGGTAGGTAGTAATCGTTCAGATGGAGTCTCTCGCACGCACAGCTTATCGTTGTGATTGATACCTGTGCCGCATGAATCCTTCGAATGGGACGGCGCTTTCCCCTTTGTGGCGTATGCTCTACGCAAAGGTCCATGATGAACTTACCTCGGCACACGATTCTCCCTTTAAAACGTTTTAAGAGATGCTGAAAACCGGGGGAGGGGAGGGGGGGCATCGCGCAGAACACATCGTGCGATTCTGTTGTCCTGCCGTCGTGAATACTGTCGAGTATTGCTGGCTGTTGTGCAGTACTTATGAGGGCTTCTCACCGACATCTTGTTCTTCGGAAGTGCGGGTCATGAATGGATAGTACGATACCTCGTGCCTCCGAGACATCTATGGTGCATCTTTGCTCAACGCATCTTTGCTCAATACACCCCATTGTTGCACTCAGGCTCTCCAGGCCATTATCGCGCAGGAACGGCCGCACGTACTCGGACTGCAGGAAATTCGCACGTCGGCTGCCACCAGCACGCCGCTGGGCACGACGAGACGCAAGAAAACACCCCCCAAGACCTCGAACTTCACGGACATCGTCAAGACAATCCTTCCGGACTACGACACCATTTGTGAGTTTTGCCCGGAAGGTCTGCACCATCACACATTCTACTACTCGGCATGCGGAGACGTTTTAGCCGAGCTGTCGTGGATGACATCCTGGCCGGAAGCACTTGAAAATGCGAGCGAATAGGAAGACTCGATCATATCCGTGAGATGTTGCTC